ACGTGTTTTTAAATTCCATTTTTTAAAATATTTATGTTTTTCTTTCAGTATATTTATATATTATTTTATTTATTTGTTTGTTTCTATTGAATTTATGTTTATTTGTTCCCTTATTTCCGCGGAAAAAAAACTTAAATTCAAGGGCTGGCCTTGAATTTAAGGAATTTCGATTTTGTCCACGATTATTTTTTTAAAAAAATGACTTTCAATGTTTTTTTGAAACATCTTAATGACTTAATGTGTTTTGTTTTTTCCGCGATGTTTTTTAGAAAAAAAACGCTGATTTTCAACATGTTTTTGAACATAATCGTGGAAACAAATCAAAATTCCTTAAATCCAAGGCCAGCCTTTGAATTTAAGGAATTTCCTCGGAAATAAGGAAAAATAGATTTCCCTCAAAAAAATCATCAAATAAAGAAACATAGATAAATAAATAAAAATAGAGAGAAATAGAAAATAGAAACAATGCAAAACCAAGTAAACATACAAAAGATATAAACTTGTAAAAATAATCATCGTTTTTCAAGAAATGACAAATATTGTCTTTCCGGAAAAAAGGTAATATATAAAAATGAAAGCATTGAAACACATGAATAAATGCAATATCCTAAAAAATCCAATGCATATTCGTAGTGTCTAGTTTTAAATTGCTTTCAAATTCGTGGAAACAATGTTCTTTGAACGACAATCCAAATGCTCAAAAGTGCCGCCTGTGGCGGGCCTTTTTAAAGATATTCATAGAACATATTTTTCGTTGGCAGGCGGCAAGGTTTCTGTCTGCAAAAAAATATATATGTTTTTTTTTTAATACCATACATGTAAAAACGAAAGACCAAGAAAAATGAGCATGAACATGGTTAAACCAAATTTTCGAACAAAAGCGAACAGACTTGAAGAATTAAAGAGTGTATATAGGGTATTTCCATTTTCATGCCCAAGACCAACAGCTGCTGCTGTGGAGCAAGTCCAATGAGCTGTTGTAAGATGTTGTAAGTATTTGTTTTGGATGATTTTTTAGGTGCCTGCATTTGTTTCTTTATGACTCCTGTTTTTTCTGCGCATACTTTATTTTGACCTACGCTGTGAACATCTACTAGTTTGTCACCCAAAGTCTTCACAAAATGAGTCATGTGGATGGCTGCAGTTACCTGATTCAATACAATTTGCTCAAAACCCTTTCAAACTGGATTTCAATCCGAAACAAGTGGTTGCAAATATCCTAAACCTTATTTCCGTGTAATTCCCTTATTTCTTGAATTATGAAAGTTTACATGCGGGCTGAAATCGTGCTTATATAATTACCCTATTTTCATACACACCATCAAAAGGGCCAATCTAACCATCGAAAATTCAGCAATTGAAGCATCATGAACCATCATGAACCATCACAATTAAACGTGTTTTTGATTTGGCCATCAAAGTACGGGGATCAATCAACTAAAATATGGGTGTAACTGGTGTAAGCCGCAGCTGTGGGAATTCATAGTTATAGGCAGCTGGTATCGGATGATCAGAGCGGGGAGGTCAGTTCAGCATTCAGCCGTAGGTATTGCCAGTTGGACCAGTAATCACCGTAATCACCGGTACGCAAAAGATGCAAAAGTATTGACTTTGCAAAGAACAGCAGCAAGATTGGATTATTAGTGCAAAAACAAATCAACAAAATTGGTTGGGCCAAAGACCTTGAACTTTGAGACAGATATTACAACATAGATCGACACAGTGTCACCTACCCCGTCCCATGGTTTTTCTGGTTTCATGACTTGTGTGGCAATGATTTGTTATATAAATCGTTGTTTATGGATGTTTATGGCATGCAGCTGATACGGCGCCCTTGGAAGGGTTGTCAATTTTGAGATGTGCCATTTACGATCCCTCTGAAGGGTTGCAAATTTCAAAAATGAGGCTTTCCGAAATGGAGGTAGTATAGGATTTGATTTTTTTGGTGTCTTTAACATGTTGCACATGCTGTCGTAGGATCATCAAGGGGGTGGGGGTGGGGGTTGGGGGGGTGTATTAACGTCCCTGACGGGCACTTCTCTTATGTTTCGGAACATGCACACGTTGCACATGCTGTCGTAGGATCATCAGGGGGTGGGGTTGGAGGGGAGGTGTATTAACGTTCTTGACGAGCACTTCTCTTATCTTACGGATCATGTACACGTTGCGCATGCTGTCGTATGATCATCAGGGGGGGTTGGAGGGGGTGTATTAAGGTTCTTGACGGGCACTTCCCTTACGTTACGGAACAAGTTGCCGTTGTTGACATGTTGCACATGCTTTCTGACGCGCCTTTGTTGGATTTCTAGCTCTAGCGTTGTCACTGCAGATGGAGCCAGAGGTTTTGCAGCCAGTTGTGTCAAAGACCCACAAAAGGCTCAAGATGGCCCAAGTCAACCACAAACAAAATATCTTGACTAAGACTTATCATTTTCGAGGTCGTTTGTGGGGTAAATCCTATAATTGGAACCATTGTTGCTGGTACCCAACAAATGGGTGGAACATGGAAACACTTCAAAAAATGGCGACCTATGTCGATGCCCCACAAAAAAAAATCAACAAGTGTACAAAAAAAGGTACACTTGGGCCTACAGCTGGACATGGCGTCACAACGCTGCCTTGTTGCAGTTTGTGGCTTCTGCGTTGCCACAAGCGCTCTGGCACTGAAGCGTCGAGAAGAGGAAAAAACTGGATGAGTGAATGTCTCCCTGATATGATTCGGATGATTGAAAATCATATCATAGATTATCATAGATTTCTAATCTTCTTTTTGACCCTTGAAGAGCAAAATCGAGTCACCGCGCAGGCGAAACGCAAATTTTCACTCTTGAGTCACACGCCTGCCAATCGAAATGAATCTCCATGTGGCAAACATTTTTTGACGACTCCTGCAAATACCAGCATTTTGTCTCTTAGCCTCAAAAATCAGAATTTCAAATTCGTCACCCTTACAAGGGCGCCGAGTCAACCGGTTGCCGTGTTTACAGGCAAAATGGTGCCAGTAAGAACATGTAATAACATGTTACATGTACATAGGTGAGAGATGTTGAGAGGTCCAAGACTCATGGAAGAGCAAACCCCCGCATATTCTATGTGAAAGGCGATCCATTTCGTCCAACCCTTTGTAAGATGACAACTGCCTTCTTGGGCAACTGCCCGGAAGAAGCAAAATCAGGTTGGATTCCCCAAGGTTAGATGTGTTGGTTTCTAGAAAATCAATTGCTGTGGGGCGGCTCTATTCATCCGTATTTCTGGCACAACTTTTGCTGGGTCGCCATAGGTGCTCAATGCCAGCCGAACTAAGTCCATCAAGACGCTCTATGACAAACCCGTTCAATGCGTCAGTGTCCTCAGCATCGAAGAAGGCTCAATCTGAAAGTGCTGTGGGCATTTGTAGGCAATACCCCTCATTGACTCAGTGACGGCAGTGATGGATGGTCATGTTTAATACTCAGTGATGGCGATGTTTGGGATTTGAACTTGTAAGTCCCGATTAGTTTGATTCACTACTAGTGATCAACTCAATCTAGCTCCTATAATTATAGCATTATTTTCATATATTGTTTAATTCGATATATGCTACGCAGTTTTTTGTTGCCTTGGTTACCGGTTTGCGTGATTGGTGTGCCGGATGTTTTGAAGCCGCCGTAGTTGCCGTGTTGACAATATTATATATATATGCCTGAATAATCATGAATAGCAAATATTATGTTTGACTAGCCGGCCTATATCCTATATATTATATTATATTGTGTGTTGTATGTATTACATATATACGTACATTCTATGTTTAAACATGTATATATATATATATACACATCACGTTTTACCTACATAAAATCATAGATGATCATAGATGTAAACTGTATACATAATATTATTGTATACCTGTACAATATATAATTTATATACATGCATATTATTCATGTTTGTGGTTTTCGGGTGGTACTGTTCAAGAAGGTCACCCGAAACATCCACATGCCAATACCACTGATTTTGTTTGTCCCCAATGGCGGCAGCTACTGATGTGTTCTGGTGGGGTTTATTGAACTGAACTACGTAGGCACGCTGATACCATCCATAGTATATTTGCCTACATTGGGTGATTGTTGATCAAAATTTCCATATCATTCTATACTTTGGATTTGGATGGATTATCACCTGGCTACTTGCACCTGCCCAGTTGCACCTTCCTGTCAAAGTGTTTCAAGGTCTCTTCTGCGAGCCCCAGGATGATTTTGGGTACCTGGTCCCAAAATGAGCTTATCCATTTAAGATTCTATATTTTTATACCCACATATATACCTAATATCTAGATGTGTGAATTCTTGCACAAGGAAAAACAACTATACACATCTTGTCGTGCGCTGTGGGCCGGTGGGTCGTTGATAGTCGGCCCGTAATGGCGAGCATGGCAGCCATGGCTTTGCAGAAGACGCTGGCAGTGAGGCCAACCCCAGAGGAAGAGGTGAAAGTCTTAGAAGTGGAGAAGGAGCCTTGGGGACACCTCTTGGGCTGATTGAATCTTAATCATGAATTTTCAGATTTGGGTGTATGCAGTGTATGCATGATTATACATGTGCATCGTTTTTGATAACTATATAAATAATGGAATACACGTGCATATTAATACAAATGGGAATCCATGAATGAATACATGGGAAGCACAGGGAGGTACAAACATATATGGAATAATACCGTTGAATATCCGCTCAAACTCATCCCAAAAGAAAACTGCCAGCCGTACCTTTTCGGCCGTCAGCAAGCAATACCTGGCAATAACGTGTGAAGTTCTATAGAAAAAGCGATCTTTCTTGAACAAGTCCAAGAATGGTTCAAAAGATACAGAATTTTAACATAAGAAAACATCGTGTCTCGTGAAAAAGTGCAGTATTTATTGAAAGTGTGCTGCGTTTCTGTCAAAAGATATGGTATTTGGTTCCTGAAGTGCGGCATTTCTTGGAGAACAAATGTGGCTCTACAAGATTATTTATCAGCAAGAGCAGTAATCTTCTGAGGAATATACGTCCACAAGGGTATGTTTGAGAATTGTCCCAAAATATCGTTGGATCTCAATGTTTATTATCATGTTCCCCATCAGGATAGCCATATGTTCGGGTCTTCCAGTCCCCCTGTTTTGGACAAACCCAAACATCAGATTATTGATTTATGTGTAATAACATCACCCTGATATCCATTATGTGTTGTCACTATCACTACAAGTAGAACCCGCGCAAGGTGGGTGGCGGAAGTTTCCAGGTTTAAGAAGTGCAACGCTATAGGATCCAAAAACAAGGTTTTCCTATAGGAGCAGCGGCAGACTTCCATGCTCTTTTCCGGGGCTTCTGACCTCTTGTCGCAAATTGTGAAACCACTTGTCAACTCTTCCACCGACTTCTCACCTCTCGTCAACTCTTTTCAACGACTTTCATTTCTGTGCACATCTTCTTGACTCTCCTCAACTCTCTTTTGATCTCTCTCTTCTCCTCTCAACTCCTTTCAACTCGTGTTGGCTCATCTCACCTCAGTTCCACCTGCCCAATTTTTTCTCAGCCCAGTCAAAGTGACACAGTTGCAAACTTTCTTGCTCAGGCCTTTCCATTCGATCATGCTTTCAACATTCGACTGTGTTATCATTCTCCTGCCATGTACTATCATTCAATCCTACTGGACTGTTGACTGTTACTTGTGGGTCGAACGTTCAAACATGCTTGGGCCGCAGCATTTTTTCCACGTGCGCGAAGATCTGTGATGTCACGAGCAGCCATTTGTCAAGAGCGCGCGTGAGCAGCACAGCCGCACGCGGCTTTGAGTCCTGCTGCCTGAAAGGCGAAACGAACAAGGACACGCAAGCAGCACAGCTGCGCGCGCCACCGGAATGCAGCGAGGCGTGGCAAACGCAGGCAGCACAGCCGTGCGCTCTTCTTCCCTGCTTTTTCTGCTAGACTGAGTTGCAAAACACAAAAGAATTACACACAACGGCAACACAAATTGGAACTCCAAAACCGGATCCCGAAGCCCACGCACAAAAACGATTTGGCAAGCACTTTTTGAAAGAAATTTCTTTAAAAGTCCTAAGGCCGTACTTTTTGAGTCCTTGCCGAAAATTGCCGAGAAACCATAGCAATGCCGAGGTTCTACGGCTGAGGGTTTATATATATATATAGCAATGTTGTTGCATTCCACGGCCGAGGGTTTAATCATGGGTTCTACGGCCGAGGGTTTATAGCAATGAATGTTTGGCCAAAATGTAGCAAATACCATGCAAATGAAAGGTTGAAATGCCAAAATGTGGCAGATACCATGCAAAATGGAAGGCAAACATTGCCAAATGTAGCAAATACCATGCAAAATGCAAAGTGACCATGCCAAAATGTAGCAAATACCATGCAGAATGACAGGTTCTAGTTCCAAACTGTTGCAAATACAAGGCAAATTGCACCAAGAAAAACCAAAACAAATTCCAAAACCTGAGGCCAAAAAAATACCAAAAACATCCAAAAACTATTCTACACCCATTTCCTAAACCTCTAGTCTACCTCTACTGCCTCTACTACCTCTACGGCACATGCCAACTGGAGACAATGATCTCTGGGTTAGTGAGGATGTGACATGTTTTCCGTAACTCGGAGTTTCCTCTGCTCCAGGCAATTTCCTTTGATTATTGCTATTGCTTATATCATACTTATATATCTATATGTATACCGTTATATATGTAATGTATGTATGTATGTATGTATGTATGTATGTATGTATGTATGTATGTATATCATACCCATTCATATTCCATGAATTCCCATTACAGAAGTGTGTCCCTATCGGTAATTAGTTATCTCAATAAAATGTCCCCATGACAGCATTTTCTCTAAAAAGCCGTGGAGGAGATTTTGAAGCTTTGCCAGGTCCTGGGGGCACAGGGATCCCTCCGACGTGCCATGGCCAAGATGCCTCCGGATGAGAGAAAAACTGACCATTGAAGCGTTGGTCAAATTGGGATATACATGGATATATACTGTACCTTCACAGTTGCATTTCGGAGAATTAAAAACCCTTGAGATGCTGAAAGCCATGGGGCATCCACCACTCTCAGGCATGGGGGCCTTCTACTTGGGAGTTCCAGAGCGGAATGCCGAGTTGGATTTGGTCTTCGTCTCTCGTTGCTGACAGCGGGCTTGGGCAGGACAATGTTCATAGCTGCCATAGCCTCTCTTGGCACGTTCTTTGTTCTTGTCCCATGCCTCGGGGTTGCCCATGATGTAGGTGTATAATTGTGTACCTACAATTTATACACACACATATACAATCACATTTATATATATAATCACATTTATATATATAATATAATATAATATAATATATATATATACAATATGCATTCATGTATGCTGTGAGTGTGACTCCTACAATTTCATCAGATAGAAATAGTTTTGCATGTTACACTGTTAGACTATGTTTACATGAGTTTCACAGGTCACTCAACGTCGCGTCGATGAACAACACGCGCCCCTCAGGTCTTGCCGGAAGGTAGCGCGACTCAACCCGCAGAGTTGCTGGAAAAGTTGCAAAATGCTTTGCCCAAGGATCGATGGCTCGGAAAACACACTGGGTTCAAAAAAATCCTGGTTTTATGATGTTTCATGGGGGTTCTTAATGGGTGATCCCAAGTCACCGTGGTTGTTTGAAGATGTTTGAATACCAAGTTACTAAGTCATGGTCGAATGACTTGGATGATTTGGGGTAATTACCCCATGCATTTGGATGATTTGCGGTAATTACCCCATGCATTGGAAACATCCAAAGGATCTACAACTAGATTATATAGTTATGTCATGTTCTGTCAAATAATTTGTTTACTGGAGGCCAATCCCTGAAATCACTAGCCAAAGAATCATTCAGGCATTGATTCTCCTACTACTGTAGCATTTGAACTTTTAAAATTTATTCTAACATGATGATTAGGGGGACCGCCAACAATCTGAGATTAGGGATGGGTGAGAAAAACAATCTATTTCTGAGCAAATTTAATCCAGGATTTTGGGTTTGTCAGTGGTCTAGAGTACGGCCGAGGGTCACAAGCCACGTCCTGAAAAAAACAGCTGAATTGTCCATGTTTTTTTTGATTCATTGGTTGATGATAAAGTCTGGAGAGTGGTTGTTTCATGTGGTGCCATTTGGGTTCATAGATCTGGATAGATTTGGTACCATTGGGCTAGTGAATTGCTAGAATTTATCCGGATACATGTTCATAGATTTTTTCCGGTGTTTTTTTGATCTGCATATTGGGAAAAAGGGGATAAGCAACAGGTCCGGGACTTACCGGGGTTATCAACCAGTCACTAAGTGATATGATCCCCAAACAGTAGGTAGATACAGTTCCAGTGAACTAATTGGTTATTATTTATTATATAGCCATAGTCGTAATGGCTATATTGTATCCCAACGTACAGAGCTTGTTACCATGGCTATACTCATAACTAACCCCAATTGCACCCCCAGGTTTCCAGATTGCAGAACCATTTGTTCACCATGGTTTCAATAAAGACCACTATCAGAACCTATTGCTGAGGACAAGGATTTGGTTAGGATTCCACATCGAAAATCCCTGCATTCCCTGCCTCCGTTCAGGCCATCCGAAGCTTTCCCCAGGGCTCCTTAAACGCCCCGGGTTTGCGGTGGCGCGCAAGCCATGCACGCCACGTGCAGCTGTTTCTAGCGAAGGAAGCGGACTAAGTTGGATCCCTGGGACATGATATCACCTATGTAGCCAGCTAATTATATGCCTGGGACATGTGTTGATATTAAAGCACACATTGATGCTGGCAATTTGAACAAAACGTGAAAGTCCCAAGAGTCAGAAAAGGTCACCCACTAAGAAAAGTATGCAGATATTATAGTCTTATACCCATGTTGCTGCAAACCTGACATTTCCAAGAAAAGTATGCAGATATTCTTGATTTCAGGACTCCAACTTTAGTTGAGGGTCAGAGTCAGAGGCTGTTGCATCTCCTAGGGGCTTGTCAACTATTGTGGGATGGGTCATTGGATCATATGGTATACATGTGAAAGAATCCGCGGTCTTGTGTTGAATTCACTTCGTATTTTGCTTTCGATGACCCCTCAGTGCAGACAGAAACAAGATCGGGACAAGGATCAAGGACCCTCAAGATTTGGCATTATCTTGGTATTGCAGCATCTCTCCATCACCATGGATGATGGTAAAGGGAACCACCCTAAAATCACTTTATTTCAGGGTGAGCATGTTTGGTGGTTTCAACCAGTTTTTCTTGTCAACCATTTTTGGGATGATGCTGATGATGATGATGATCATCATCATCATCAACAACAACCACGTCATCATCATGATCCCAATGACTTTTGCCAGGTGTTGAAATCACACCATTTGTTTTGTTGCCAGACATCGTTAGTTGCCAGACATCATTAGCCAGTTGCTTCGAGCCTGCAGGAGGAGAAACCTAACCCATCAACGCCAGCACCCAGCGCCATACCGCCCTCCCTTGCAGCCCTCTATGCACATGAGGCACCCAGGGGTTTGTTGTGAGTTGTGAAGGACCTCCATGATGGGAATGGGACGGAACTTCTGAAGGGTTGGTAAGCTCCAAGTATGGAATGTATGGCTGTGAAAAAATCCTACGTTGCCAGGTCTGATTATCAGTGGATGTTTCTTACATACTGAAAAACAATTTGGAAGGTGATTTTGCCAGATTTGGAACTTTGGTGTTCCAGTTTGATTTTCATGGCTGCGAACATCCAAACTTCATCAAACTTCCAAGTTTTGGACTGTCTGAGTCCTACTGTACACATTTCCAACTTTTGCTTGCAGCTTCAACTTGTGCCTGCTTTTGCCTACACAAATTTCGTACGATTGATCGGGTCCCACCTTCCAATCCTATAAGCCTATAAGGTATAAATTCACGGTGGTTGCGTGGGTCTTCTCGCTTGGGGCTCCAGAGTGGGATCAAAAAACATCATAACGAGGATGGCTATTATTAATACCCTTCAGTAAATTAACATAGACCCTGGCAGATAAGGGTTGGAAGATTAGTTTCCAGTAAAAATTGGTTATTTTCGGGGTCCATGTTGATTTACCAAATGGTAATAGTTTGCCCAAATTTGGGGCTTGCCAATCCGGGAGTCAAAACATGCCGAAGATTGGACAAAATGTGACAAGTGGTCTTGTTTGGAAGCGTGGGTATGAGGGCAACAACATGCGTTTGCATTCAGATAAATTTGGCTATGGCATGCTAGGGGTCCAGACTTGAGAGATCAAGGTTTCTAAAATGGGGTACCCCTACGTTATTCTCTTTGATAGGATTTTCCATGAAATAAACCATCCAGCTATTTGGGATCCCCCATTTATGGAAGCCCCCATATCTTGAGATCATTGGAAATGGTTCATTCTTCATATTGGCTATCCAAGGCTGGTCCTGGAGAATACTGTCCGTGCAGTGTTCAGCATAGCAACAACTATCTTTATTACTTGCCCTTTGCTAATCAAGCATGGCAATGGAAAATCCCCGTCTATAGATGATTTCCCATTGGAGGCTCCATGTTTAAAGGATTTTCCATTGCCACATTTGATTACCAGAGGGTGCCAATGAATTCATATTGAATTGTATTTTATCATATCTTATGATGCTGTATGATTCTGTATGGGACGGTTTGGCTCAACACCGGCCGGTGGCGATCGGCCGCCGTTAGGGATTGAAATGAGCCCAGGTGAGCTCACAGATTCTGGCCAGTGTACCTTCACAGGAAGTCTTTCAGGACTTGTACCTCGATTGTTTGCTTCAGCCGAAGGCGACCAAGATATGGCAGAATGTAGGGTTTATTATTGGGTATGCCCCAAATAGGGATGATTCGGGATATAAAATGGCCCCCCAGGCATGGCTGGTAAATGTGATGGCTTATTATTCGGTTTGCCAGGTAATACCACATTACTTTGCCATGTGCTCATCACCTTCGAACATGGAAGCTGATCAGACAGGTATGCGTTACACTCCCTGCTTTTTGGAACTACTTCTTTACTATGTTGATTCTGCATCTCTCTCTCTCTCAACTGCAACACCGGTCTGTGAAAATTAGTTGCACATTTCTTTCTAGATCGGAGCATACAACTTTCCCAAGTCTCCCATGGTGGATTGTTGGTGGAGCCGCATTTTAAAAAGATGGATATCTTGGATGATGACTTCTTGCTCACCAGAAACCTCAAAAACTTGTTGGGGGTTTGGTTAACCCTCTGTAAATATCCAAAGGTCATGGTTAAATCCCCATTCAACCACTATAAACAAACACCAAGTTGGTAAGTACATTGCTCCTCAACGATGTGTTTTATTGGTTGCATCGCTTCATGGTTTGTACTCACAGCAATTCACCTGTTCATGAAGTAATCTCCCAAGCTTATCCCATCCCGGCCACAAACCAGCTATTGGTGAACCATTCGTGAGAAGCCATACTTCGTTGGTCAGCTAGATACTGAACAACAAGTGTGGCGGTTGTTCTCGCGCATGCATTTGCCTGTATCTTAGCTAGACTCTTTCAGAAGGCGATGACGAGCCTCTATACAGCTATCATTTGGATCACCCAATGGAAACTTAAATATTCATGTTGGTTGTGTGGCCATGCATATGATGCACTGCAGATAATAAACAGAAACAGCTAGACGACAGTGACCAGTGCGGCCGCAAGAAGATCAGGAGAACTGCTGTGTATGAACTCCTGTGTAATAACTAATAACTCTTGTTCAAGTGACATTGCAGGAGTTTTGTAGGAGATATGTGGACGTTGAGCACCTGTAGACCTTGTTTGATAACTAATGATGTAGATAACGTATGTGATGCACATGAAGCTGATGGGAGTTGATGTAGAATATGTAGATGATGTGTGTGTGTGATGTAGATGGAGCTGGTTGAGGTTGATGTACATGATGTGTGTGTGTGATGTATGTGATGTAGATGATGTAGATGATGTATGTGATGTAGATGATGTAGTTGAAGCTGATGTAGATGATGTAGATGATGTAAAGGATGTTGTAGAGACGTAGGAGATGTCGATAATGTCGATAATGTATGCGATGTAGGTGAAGTTGATGTAGATCATGTAGGTGATGTAAAGGATGTAGGAGATGTTTTGTAGATAAAGTGACACGTTGAATTTGGTAGCAGTTCTTTGGGAAACACCCTTCGCAGGAGCTTTCGGGAAGTAGTCTATGTAGGGAGGTGTCGGGAGGGTAAGATAGATTGATTAGATAGAATAGATGGCTTGGATTCCAAGTAGCGAGACAGATAGATGCGAGATAGATAGCAGACAGACAGATGCATGGACACAGATAGATAGAAAGATAGATAGCAGATCAGATTAGAATCGATTAGATTATATAGTAGATTGATTAGATTAACTTAGATAGATAGATAATGATAGATAGGAAAGATGGATGGATGGATGGATGGATAGATAGATAGATAGATCGATGGATAGATAATGATAGCTAAATAGATAGATTCAGATTGAAAAATAGATAGATAGACAGATAGCTAGCTAGCTAGGCAGGTAGGTAGATAGATGGACGGACAGACAGACAGACAGATAGATAGATAATGATAGATAGATAAATAGATAGATAGATAGGTAGGTAGATAGGTAGATCAATAGATAAATAGGTAGATAGATAGATAGATAGAATAGATAGACAGATAGATAGACAGATAGATAGGTAGGTAGATAAATAGAAAGATAGATGCAGGCGGGCAGGCGCACAGACGGACAGACAGACGGGCAGACAGACAGACGGATAGATGGATGGATGGACGGATGGATGTATAGACCAGACAAAAGACGTAGATTTCAACTCCCCACCCCAGGTTGCGGGTTGTGAAGCACTGGGCCAAGCGCCGTGGCCTTTATGGTCGCTCAGCAGCATCCCAGACGACTGGTATAACTATCCCAAACTGTCCCATCATTTCAAGTTCGTGAGCTCGTCTTATTTGCTGTCCTTAATTTATCCAGACGGATTGATGGATTGATGTTCGATGATGTTCCATGTTCATATGGCCGCTAAAGGAGATGCATGATTCTGCATGTTTATGTGTTTTGGTAGTGTGCTGCATTTAAGTTTGGACTTGGACATAAGAAACATATGTGGAATTCGCAGGCATTTATGGAGATCACGAATCGACACAGGGAGATTTCACCACAGCAAAGGTGTGCCAAGACGATGCATCAAGGGAACTCACCAAGAGTTCATCAGCAATTTGAAAAGATGCAGCATGTGTCTTGCAACTGGGAAATTCTGATAAATTTCGGACTATCCTATGAAAAACACTGTTATTTTCTGTGATTTTGGGTGGGTTTGCTTATGAGTTTCAAATTTCCTATGGTTTCCCCATGATTGTCCCGTGCCTGGGTTGTTTCTATTGGACTCTGCCGACGCCGAGGAAACCTTTTTGGATTTTTTGATGGGACCACCTGGGCCCTATGCTGCGCAAGAGTTTGTCAGCTCCATCCGAAAGCAGTGCCTTGCATGGAATTTCACTTTGCTAGGTATGGTTGTAGCTACGTAAGGTGGATAGTTATACTGCTTTCCATTTTTTGAAAGGGTTTGCTATGCTATCACTTTGAGCAAGGGATTATCCCTTGGGGTTTAAACCCCGAATTAGGTTTATTTATCATTATTTATCCTCGTTTGACATGATTGCCTTCATTGTTTGCCACCCAAACAAAATGATTTTTTAAAAGTTCAATGCAAAATATGACGATTCTTTCGTGGGTTGACAAACGCGTTTTTTTTTTTAACTGGCCATGTTTGCACATGGAATCCAAGCAGTGGCAACTCGGTAAGGCAGAGGATTTTTGTCAACCCATGTTTCAGTCCGCTGTTGCTGAACCATTCACTTCCCTTCAACAATTCTACGAACTTTTATGATAATTTTATGATTATTGTTTAAATAAAAAAGTCAGCCCTGTGTCATGAAGAAAACCCGAGGTCTTACATGACCTGCTCCAGTTTTTCTTCGCACTCCTGGGCCGTTCGGATTGGTCCAGCCCCATCGCCCTTGATACGGGCGATAGCCTGGCGCCCACGGTGCCCATGGTGCCTGGCACCCTAATGCAGCTGCCCGGGAACGTCTATGGCCCAGCGCGCGCGGCCCACTACGAAGTGAGCGAATCCGCTGCTGGGCGGCATGAGCAGGTCATGTGTAGCAGCTTCGCAGATTGTGGCACACTAACTATGTGTAGCTCCCCACCTGCCAAGCGAGGGTTTTTAGATTTGAACAAAGGTGCAACTCCTCCCCCTCCTTCTCCTCTTTGTCTCCTCTGCCAGCTCTGGACCCGAACTCCATATCGCGAGCTCAGGATGCAGTGGGGATCAGTGGGGGGAATGTGAGAAAGAATGTCAGAACAGATGCCAGCATTGAACGTCAGAATAGATCCCAGAGAGAATGCCCAATGGAATATCAAAAACTATGCCAGGTAGAATGCCCGAATGAATGCCTGAATAGAATGCCAGAACAGATGCCACAAAGAATGTCAGAATAGATGCCAGATAGAATGCCAGAAAAATCCAAAAAATGTCCGAATGTATGCTATAAAGAATGTCAGAAATAGGGTCAGAATGAATGTAGGAGAGAATGAATGTTAGAATGAATGTCAGATTGAATGTCAAGGTATATGCCAGAAAGAATGCCAGATAGAATGTCAGAAAATATGTGCTTATGCCGCATTGTGCCTATTTACATGTACTTTCAGATGGTGTGTCAGAATCTGTGTCAGAATTGTGTGTCAGGGTGGGGATCAATCGAAGAAAGCATTTTTTCCTGCAAACTCAGATAAGACAAGGTAAATTTTTGTTATTATTTTATTGTTTGGGTGAAACCTGGTGAGGATTCTGAATGCAGCGCTTAGATATGGCTTGTAGTCCTGAGGTGATGCGGGTGGTGCAACGCGAGCTCCGCCGCGCCGAGCAGAAGAGGGTCCCAGAGTTGTGGGTTTCTGGGCCCCAAATGGGCCCCAGAGTCTGTCATCAACAGGGGACCGAACTTAGGGAGGACCTATTTTTTCTGTTGTGATTATGGTAGCCCTTTGATCCTTTGTTCAACGAATGTGGTGATGGAGCACCCAGGCTTTTTGCACATAGATGATGTTTGATGATTCCAGATTTTGTCCATTGCCGTGTGATATGCATGTAGGATGTCCATGGTCAACATAGCCAACATGAGCAGAAAGGCGGTTTTGAGACTGAAACTTAGTGGAGGCCGGCCTACTGATTCAGGTTCCCTAGAATGCATCCCGTTTGTGTGTATTCTTCAAAATGAAATGCAGTAACAATAACCTTGAATGGATTGATTTTTGTATGTTCTAGCAATGTTTCAACTCCTTCAAGAGTATGTCTTCAAGGTTTTGGGGTGTTCAAAAATCGGTAGTCAAAACCAGTGGGTTTCCATATTCTCGGGAGACGAACATCGATGGGTCAAAGACCTTAAGGCCGAGCACCAATTCTTCAGCCGCCATCGTGGCTGGGAGCACTGGGATCGGGGACGATGGGGTATTCCCGTAGCAGGTCGCCAAGAGATGGGGTACTTCTTATATACTATATACATCTATATACTCTATAAGATCTAACATAGACCCGGGCAAGCCGGCGGCGGAAGTTTCCCAAACATAAATGACCTATAGTTCAAAGACAACCTGTCCCGACCGTGTCCTTCCCTCGACACTCCACACCTCACACTGCACACTGCACACTGCACTCTTCGCACTCCACACTTCACACTTCACACTCCACACTTCACACTTCACACTCCACACTTCTCACTTCTCACTGCTTCCTTCACACTCCAAACCTCACACTTCACACTTCACACTTCACACTGTGCTCTTCGCACTCCAAACTTAAACTTCACACTCCACACTGCACACTTCACACTCCACACTTCACACTTCTCACTTCCCACTGCTTCCTTCACACTTCACACTTCACACTGCACTCTTTACGCCCCACACTTCACACTGCTCTAAACCTACGTGGAACAAAAAAACACTAATGCGACAAAATGGAGAAAATCTGCTGACATATCACTGTGGCAGCCTTCATGAAGCCACTCCAATACGATTTACGAAGTCGAGCTGCAAAAGACAATAGTATTACGAATGCAGCCACAGCACGAAGCAACCTTGACGCAGCCATTACAATGCGATCTGCAGAGACTGAGTTGCAAAACACAATAGAACTACGCGCAACGGCGTCGGAAATTGTAGCTCCAAAACCGGATCTCGACGCCAGAGCAAAAAAAAGACGATTTTGAAGCACTTTTTAAAAGGATTTTCAGAAGGAAAATCACTAGCGCCAAAATGGAGAAAATCTGCTGACAAATCACTGTCGCAGCCTTCATGCAGCCACTCCAAGACGATTTCCGAGATCCAGCTGCAAAAGACAATAGTATTACGAATGCAACCACAGCACGAAGCAACCTTGACGCAGCCATTACAATGCGATCTGCAGAGATTGAGTTGCAAAACACAATAGAACTACGCGCAAGACGATTTCCGAGATCCAGCTGCAAAAGACAATAGTATTACGAATGCAGCCACAGCACGAAGCAACCTTGACGCAGCCATTACAATGCGATCTGCAGAGACTGAGTTGCAAACCGCAATCCCATTTACATTGCGGGAACGATCCTACAGTTGCAAAGCAGAATGGAATTCCATCGGCAACTCATCCACCAGCAACACTTGCAATCCCATTTAAATTGCGGGAACGATCCTACAGTTGCAAATCACAATGGAATTCCATCGGCAACTCATCCACCAGCACCACTTGCAACCCCATTTACAATGCGGGAACGATCCTACAGTTGCAAATCACAATGGAATTCTGTCGACCGCACATGCACGAAAAACAGTTGAAACCCCATTTACAATGCGGAACCGATCCGAGCATGATCCGAACATGATCCGAACATGATCCGGACATGATCCGGACATGATCCGACCACACACGAGACCGTCTCGCAACCGTCGCACCGCAGAGGTAGATCATCGAGGTTCGGGGACGGACTTTGTATGGAAAAACATAGGGTTTCGTGCATCTGCTATCTCTCAAAAACGCATTTCGTGCGAGACTTCCTTCAAAACTCCATCGGCAACTCCTCCACCAGCACCACTTGCAATGCCATTCTAACTCTTTCTTTGACTAGCTCTTTCCCTGACAGTCTAAAAGTTACAATTAACTCTGTCCCTAACTAACTCTTTCCCTCACTAACTCTTTCTTGGACTAAATCTTTCCCTGATGAACTCTTTCCCTAACTAACTCTTTCCCTCACTAACTCTTTCTTTGACTAACTCTTTCCCTGATGAACTCTTTCCCTAACTAACCTTTCCCTGACTAACTCTTTCTTTGACTAACTCTTTCCCTGATGAACTCTTTCCCTAACTAACCTTTCCCTGACTAACTCTTTCTTTGACTAACTCTTTCCCTGACATTCTAAAAGTCCGTAACACGGAAGTTTCTCCCCCTAAATTTCCTTTGATAAGGAGGTTTCCTAAACTGCGGGGTACCCCCAATCATCTAAAATTAGATCATTTTAGCATTGGAATTGGAACCAATGGTTTTGGAGATCCCTCATCTTAAGAAACCTTGATATGTATGTATGATTATGTATGTGTCTCAATCATTCTAAGTCCTCATGAGGTTGGCCGGTGCCATTTTACTCCAGCAGTTGGGTATTTTAAACAACCTGGCCGGGTATTTTAAAGCCAACCTGGCCGACATTGGTGGGGACATTCGATTGCTCTCACTGTCACCACAAAACTGTTTGGTGGTTCATGTTTTTTTTGTGCTTCGCTATTTATCATCCAACTTTAAAAATGAGATGATGATTCCAACTGACTCTTCAGAATTCAAATGTCACCATCACTGTCACCATCATCATCTTCACAATTATAATAATCACCTTAATCATCATAATTTTCATCATAATCACCATAATCATCATTATCATTATGATTATCATAATAATAATGGTAATAATAATAGAGTCATCATCATGATCATCATCATCATCATCATCATTATCATCCTATCCAGTTGCCTCATGTGACGCTCAGTGAAGGATCTGGTTGCCCACCCACAGGTTCTATGCTCTCAGAACTGCATTTGTCTGATGAATTCCTATCATTTTTGCGGAATTTGTTGAAGACAAATTGTGCGCTTGTGGAAAACATATATATATACATATACATATACATTTTGTTGGTAAACTATGGTTTTCTCCGAGTCTCCAGATATTCAACCCAGAAACTGTTGGACATCTTGTACGATGGACAGGACCAGCTTGCACTAAGGACAGCGTAAAAGCTGAAAGACCGTATATTTTATAAATACATATAAATACAACTAAATACATATAAATACGATATCTTAGGTGCCTGCCTTGTTTCCTGCTCGGTCGAGGTCCTGTTGGTAGATGCTGTTTTCATTTGTCTTGAGCCTCCTTTGAAACGGGCTGGGAGTCATCCTGTACCGCCTGCACCGCCACTGCGGGTGGAAAGGTCACTACATTCGCTTTGATTTTATGGCAAGTAGTGATGAGATTTTGGAGAAGTGGTGGGTTTCTTGGAGAAGTGGTCGGGCTGACTGTAGAGATTTCTTGGCTGTAAGGGGAACGTGTTGAAGACGATCAGATAATTACTCTCCTTGTTTGAGCCACAAACCATGCCAACTAGAGATTGGATGTCGTTGCTTGCATGACAGAAATGAAAGTCTTTGATGTGTGAGAAGTTAGAGAAGTTGAAATGGATGAGCCTTCCCTTGAATCCATTTCTTGTAGCCAACCATGCAGGTACCCACGCGTTGTGTTGGTTTAATCATATGCCACCTTTGATTGTCATGTTGAATCGAAGTTGCGACTTGAATCGTGAACTCTCCAACTTGGTTACACACATTGTTGGTCGTCAGAACTTGTGGCGCAGCTGTAATTTAAGGTACCTACCAAGTATTTGCGTATGAAGAACTGGCTGGATGGATCAACATTCTGTGTATGCCTATAATCTATCATTATCTATTAATTATTATATCTATCATGTTTGTTCATGCTCTATCAATACCTATCAGTATCTATCATTATCTATCATTGTCTATCAATATTTATTATTACCTATGTATCGATGTATCTCTGTACCTATGAACCTTATCTATCTGTCTATCTATCTATTTATCTATCTATCTGTCTATCTATCTATCTATCTATCTATCCTTCTATCTATCTATCTGTCTATCTATCTACCTATCTATCTATCCATCTTTTTATCTATCTATCTATCTGTCTATCTATCTATCTACCCTATCTATATCTACCTATATCTATCTGTATCAATCTATATCTATCTATATCTATCTATATCTATCTATATCTATCTATATCTATCTATATCTATCTATCTCTATCTATCTATCTATGTCTATCTATGTCTATCTATGTCTATCTATGTCTATCTATGTCTATCTATGTCTATCTATGTCTATCTATGTCTATCTATGTCTATCTATATCTACCTATATCTATCTATATCTATCTATATCTATCTATATCTATCTATATCTACCTATATCTATCTATATCTATCTATATCTATCTATATCTATTTATATCTATCTATATCGATCTATATCTATCTATATCTATCTATCTCTATCTATCTCTATCTATCTCTATCTATCTCTTTCTATCTCTTTCTATCTCTATCTATCTCTTTCTATCTCTATCTATCGATCGGTCTATCTATCGATCTATCTATCGATCGATCTATCTATCTATCTATCTATCGTTCGATCTATCTATCTATCTATCTCTCTCTCTATCTCTCTATCTAATCTATCTAATCTATCTAATCTAATCTAATCTATCTAATCTATCTATCTAATCCATCGATCTAATCTATCTATATCTATCTAATCTATCTATCTAATCCATCGATCTAATCTATCTATCTAATCTATCTATACCTATCTATCTAATCTAATCTATCTATTCGATCTAATCTATCTAATCTATCTAACCTTTCCAATCGATCTAATCTATCTAATCGATCTAATCTATCTAATTTATCTAATCGATCTAATCTATCTATCCTATCTATCCTATCTAATCGATCTAATCTATCTAATCTATCTTATCTATCTAATCTATCTTATCTATCTAATCTATCTATCTATCTAATCTATCTAATCTAGTTAATCTATCTAATCCATCTAATCTATCTAATCTATCTAATCTATCTAATCTATCTAATCTATCTAATCGATCTAATCGATCTAATCTATCTAATCTATCTAATCTATCTAATCTATCTATCTATCTATCTATCTACCTTTCTATCTATCTATTCTTTCTATCTATATCTATCTATATCTATCTATGTCTATCTATGTCTATCTATGTCTATCTATGTCTATCTATGTCTATCTATATCTGTCTATATCTGTCTATATCTACCTATATCTATCTATATCTATCTATATCTATCTATATCTATTATTAAATTTCACGAGCTCCTGGGATTTTGCGATTTTTCGGGAATATTGGATATCAAAGTCAAGATGCAATATTTGGTGCAGTGTACGCGCACAAGGGTGGCACCAAAAACTTAAGCGTCATGGTTTGCACGGGTTTGCACTGGATCAGCCTTCCATAAATTGAATTGGTCCAATTAATCGTTCAGAAAAAATGAAACGGTCGGAAATAGTCGGAAACGGTCGGAAACATGATCAGGCCAAAACTTGTTCAACCAGCATTTTTTTGTTAATAAGCATTTCCGCGCAACGCCGTGTTTTTTTTTTGAAGGTCCAAAGGTGTCCAAGGGGAAACGGTTGGAAACAGTCGGAGATCGCACCTTCGCTCGGCAAAAAAGTAGTTGTTTTGTAGCATATGTTCATGAACTAGACGACGGTTGGCCCGAGAGCGAAAAAGACGTTTTTCAAGCAGCTCTGAGTATGGTAGTCGTAAAAAATAGTCGGTGAATGGTTGGTGAATTTTTTATGAGCTATGGAGGGGTAAGTTGTGAAAAGTAAGATTGATTAAGAAGAGGATACATGTGACAACCCATGCATATGCACTGTGCTGCTTGGTAAAGGGCATCATATGACACGTGTCTTGCAACCACAGAGAGACATAGATAGAGAGAAAGGGAGAGAGAGAGAGAGAGAGAGAGAGAGGGAGAGAGAGAGAAAGAGGGAGAGAGAGAGAGAGCAGGGTCTTCTGTTGTTAGTATTGAGACACTATATTGCAAGACAATATACTAAAGAAGTATTTTAGGCAGGCGAGACAAGTAGTATCAAGACAATATATTACAAGTACAAAACACTAGTTTGCATCCTATCCTTCGTATTGTTTCTCACACACAGACGCTTCTGCACAGAAGCTGTTACACACAGACGCATTTACACACAGACGCTTTTACACACAGAAGCGTTTACACACAGACGCTTTTACACACAGAAGCTTTTACGCACAGAAGGTTTTACACGCAGACACTGGACACTTTTGCAAACATAGGCTTTTACACACAGACGCCTTTACACACAGACGCCTTTACACACAGACACTAGACACTTTTACACACATAGTCACATAGGTTTTTACACAGACGCTTTTACGCGCAGATGTTTTTAGACACACACACACACTTTCACACACAAACGCTTTTACACACAGACACTTTTACACACAGAAGCTTTTACACACAGACGTTTTTTACACACAGACGCTTTTGAACACAGACACTTTTACACACAGACACTTCTACCCACAGAAGTTTTTACACACACACACACGCTTTTCTTTTACACACACACACTTTCACACACAGAAGCTGTTACACACAGAAGCTTTTACACACAGACGCTTTCACACACAGAGGCTTTTACACAGAGGCTTTTACACACAGAAGCTTTTACACACAGAAGTTTTTACACACAGATTCCTTTACACACAGACGCTTTTACACACAAACACTTTCACAGACGCGTTTACACACAGAGACTTTTACACACAGACGCTTTTACACACAGACACTTTTACACGCAGACGCTCTTACACAGAAGCTTTTACACACAGACTCCTTTACACACACAGACGCTTTCACAGACGCGTTTACACACAGAGACTTTTACACACAGACGCTTTTACACACAGACACTTTTACACGCAGACGCTTTTACACACAGACGCTCTTACACAGAAGCTTTTACACACAGAAGCTTTTACACACAGACACTTTACACACAAACGCTTTTACACACAGACCCTTTTACACACAGACCCTTTTACACACAGACGCTTTTACACACAGAGGCTTTTACACGCAGATGCTTTTACACACACACACTTTCATACACAGAGGCTTTTACACACAGAAGCTTTTGAAGAGTGTCTCTATATGACATTTTATGTGCCTGAACTCAAACTGTTCTGTTCTTGACATCAAGCACATGATGGCATCGAGCTCTGTTGCAAACGTTTGCAGACATTTCATTAGTGAAGTATTGTCACATGTGTCATTTACAGCATCATGGTACCGATCCTTTTTGGGCCATTTATGTGGGATTTTCCATAATAAAATGAAATGACATGTGTCATACACAGCATCATGGTACCGAGCTTTTTTTGGCCATTTTTGTGGGATTTTCCATACTAAAATGAAATGACATGTGTCATACACGGCATCATGGTACCAAGCTTTTTTGATAGTTTCTGTGGGATATTCCCAGAATAAAATGAGATAACGCGTGTCATTTACTGCTTTAGGGTATTGGACCTTTTTTTGCGCAAACGTTCGCAGACATTTCACTAGTTGAGTCTTGTCACATGTGTGATTTACAGCATCATGGTACCGATCTTTTTGGGCCATTTATGTGGGATTTTCCATAATAAAATGAAATAACATGTGTCATGCACGGCATCATGGTACCGAGCTTTTTTGGGCCATTTATGTGGGATTTTCCATACTAAAATGAAATGACATGTGTCATACACGGCATCATGGTACCGAGCTTTTTTGATAGTTTCTGTGGGATATTCCCAGAATAAAATGAGATAACGCGTGTCATTTACTGCATTATGGTATTGGACCTTTTTTTTGTGCAAACGTTTGCAGACATTTCACTAGTGAAGTCTTGTCACATGTGTGATTTACAGCATCATGGTACCGATCTTTTTGGGCCATTTATGTGGGATTTTCCATAATAAAATGAAATAACATGTGTCATGCACGGCATCATGGTACCGAGCTTTTTTGGGCCATTTATGTGGAATTTTCCATAATAAAATGAAATAACCTGTGTCATACACAGAGGCTTTTACACACAAACGCTTTTACACGCAGATGCTTTTACACACACACACACTTTCACACACAAACGCTTTTACACACAGATGCTTTTACACACAGAGGCTTTTACACACAGACGCTTTTACACACAGACGCTTTTACACACAGACACTTTTACACACAGACACTTTTACCCACAGAAGCTTTTACACACACACACACGCTTTTCTTTTACACACACACACACACTTTCACACACAGACGCTTTTACACACAGACGCTT